ATGGTCTCCATCCATCCGGCAAAGGGTCCGAGACCCGCTTTACTCTCCCGGCCCCGTGCCCCTGCCTTTGGATGTCGATGCCCTGGCCTCTTGGCTTTAAGGCTCGGCCATTGAATCTTAAAGGCAGGCGTCCTTTTCTCTTCTGGTTTAGCCCCTTCAAATCTTATATAAGCTCTCCCTTATCGAAATCATACAAACCCCGTGGGCCGTTTAAAGTGGGCAAGAAGCAGCTTGGACAGTTCGGCGGGCAAGGCAGGGAGAACATTAAACCGAAACCCGAATCCAAACCTGGCAAAGGCACCTACATCCTGAATATGGAAAAGAGGAGCGCCATGCGCTAGCCTGGAAATCCGAGGCTGGAGCCCTGTACTGGAAGCCCAACCCTCCACCCCAAACCCTGAACCCCATGAGCTGCACATATCATAGCTTACTTACCTTCCAAAGCACATCTTAACCCAAAGTTTTTGTTTTTTTTTTTTTGGGGGGGGGGGGGGTGTGGGGTATCTTACCTGAAACCCTGAAACGCTAAACCCTAAACCCTACACCCTAACCCTGCACCTGAAGAGTGTTTGAATCTTCACTCACCGCGAGCTCCCATGCCCCAAAGATCTGGGCGTAGGCTACAGAAATACTCTAGAGGTCTGGGTGGTAGGATGTAGGCTCTCTTAGGGCTTAAGGTCTCGATGTAGGGGTGAAAGAAGTCCGTTGTAAGTTTAGGGTTTAGGCTCTCAGGGCTTAGAGTTAACCCTAAACTTCAAGAAAAAGTACCCTCTAAGGCCACAAATCATGGGACTACTCATGGAGCTCTGCTCTCAGACCCGGACACTAAGAACCCTTCGAGCCTCACACGAAGCTCCTCAACCCAAATCTCCATCATAGGGTTCATAAGCTGTAGGGTGTTCCTTTTATTGGGTTTAGAGGTTTGGGTTTAGGGTTTAGGGTTTGTAGGGTTTTTAGGGTTGCACATCGTGGTTTTTCTGTCGGACTGACAGCCATGGAGTCCCAATCCTCGACGGAGTTCGAAGCGCGTTTCGCCGCCGTCTGCTGGGAGGCGGTTTTCAGTGGGGTTTTTTCGGGTTTCAGGGTTTCTTTCAGGGTTTCAGGGTTTCTTTCAGGGTTTCAGGGGTTTTGGGTTCAGGGGTGCAGTTTTCACTCTACGCGATCGGCCTCGGCCGGCCCCAACCGTAGGAACCGCGGGCCTCGAAGACACGAAGACACAAAAGAGAAAGCACAGACGAGGTGACGACGAGGGGCTAACGAGAGGGTTGGGGGGAGGGGGAGGGTAGGGAGTGCCAGAGGAACCTGGTCAAGGTGGCACAAAGGGCGTTTGTGGAGTGCCAAATACACGAGCACAAACCTCACAAAAGGTGTGTAGCGGAGGGGACCCGTGGCCTTGGTTGATATTGCGGTTCCATACGGTGCCCGAAACCCGAAACTGAACACTGAAAAACTACCAGCAAGGGCTATTGGGCCTTATAATGCCCCCGAACCAACCCTACACAGGGCCTTTTTAAGGGGTTCTGGGGTATAGTAGCTCATGCAGGTAAACCCAAACTACAAGCCCTTCCTCGGCTCGAGCACAGGGTATTGGGCTCTGCTGACTGGAAGAATTTATGGAATTCGTTGTTTTTTGTAGGTCTAGGGTTCTGGGTGCTAGGATTGGCCTCGTAAAGGGTCGCATTGCGTGTCGACAGTCTCAGGCGTCGGCTTTTTTCTCAAAGATGAAAAACCCTGAAGCCCCGAATCTCTACCTCGAAATCCCGCTACTCAAACCCGAGACCTAAACAAAGCCTAGAAACCCTTCCCAATCCCTCTCAAATAAGCCGGAAACTTCTCAACCTCTAACCCTAAACCCCAAACAGGAAGCCCCAAAATCTTCAGCCCTGGCACAATGGCAGCTCTCTGAATTAGGGTCCCTGAACGTTGGTCCCCTTATCGAACACGGGCACCCTAAAAGGAGGACCCCAAAAGGGACGCTCATGTAGAGAACTCCCTAAACCCTAAACCCTAAACCCTAAACCCTAAACCCTAAACCCTAAACCCTAAACCCTAAACCCTAAACCCTAAACCCTAAACCACCCACATGCACCTGCAGGCCTCGGCCTCGGAGGAGTCGGATGAGGAGCGTGGGTTTAGGGTTTGGGGTTCACGCTTTGGGGTTGAAGGTGTAGGGTTTGGGGTTTAGGGTTCAGGGTTTAGGCTGCGGGGTTCAAGGTTTAGGGTTTAGGGTTTAGGGTGTAACCCTAAACCCTAAACCCTAAACCCTAATTCCTAAACCCTAAACCCCTAAACCCTAAACCCTAAACCCTCAACCCTCAACCCTAAACCCTAACCCTAAACCCTAAACTCACCCCAAGTCCTGTCACTCCGGAGTGCCCCTGCCTCAACCCAAGAGGCCTAAAAGGATCTCAAGTCCACAAGCCTCAAGTCCTTCACCAGGCTGTTGTTAGGGTTTAGGGTTTAGGGTTCAGGGTTTAGGGTTTAGGGTTTAGGGTTTCTTCAACGTTTAGGGTTTAGGGTGTAGGGTTTAGGGTTCAGGTTTTAGGGTTTAGGGTTTAGGGTTTAGGGTTTCTTTCACGTACAGTGTAAGCTTCAGTGGCTTCTGAAACGGTTTCTGTTGAGAATCCATAGGGGTGCTTTTAAGGGGCTTTCGAAACTGTAGGCGTGAAGGGGGAAAGACACTCCTGATGTTCAGGAGGCCAATGTGAGCAACACCTCCGCTGGCTCCAAGCGCAGAGACCTGACGAAGAGTTCCTTGGTGTGCACCCGGAACCCTAAACCCCTAAGCCCTAAGCCCCTAAACCCTACAGCCCACATATTCAATCCTTTCAAGGGCCCTTTTGAGGGGTTATAGGGTATAATAGCCCATGCTGGTAGACCCTAAAACCCCTAAACCGCTTGTTTAAGCTTGGGGTTCAGGGCTTCGGGCTGATTCCAAAGCCCACGGTTCTCACTTGCATTTTGTAGGGCTTAGGGTTTAAGAGGGTTGTGTCGCTCCTGCCCAGGCTACATCAAGCAGCAGCTTGGCAGGAATATGCCCTAACGCCCTAAACCCGCCCTATGACCCCAAGCTTAGTTCTTGGGGTGTCGCGCTCGTGTTTGCGAAGTTAGAGTTCCAGGCTCAGATGGATTTGGCGAGATTGTTTGGATCACTACTGAGAGATGTGCTCGAAGTAGCCCGCCAGATGAATCCTGCTGCAAGATAAGAAGTCTGACCACTTAAGCTGCAAGTATTCAGATCAACTCTTCTTGTTCTTTGCTACTGCAAGTTTGTTGCATAGGCATGCAAATGAATTCAAGCACTAGCAGCTTTACTTTAAGTCCGAGAAGATGTTTCGTTGCGAATATCACAATATTTCCCAAACCCGAAACCCGAAACCCTTAAACCTCGCCTTCCACGAGACAGCGGAGATCGGGGTGTTGAGGGCTGCCACCCCTGCAACAGGGACCCACCCAACCACAGGGTTTGCTCAGGGTATAGGGGGTCGAGTAAACCCAAAACCGCCCTAAGCCCTGAACCCTAAACTGCCAATATGTCGACAAACCGATCTTCGTCTTCCAGGCCAGACACACGAGAGGTCTGTCCCACTCCGCACCTGCCTAGACCGCCCAGCACCCTCCTAATTGAGGAACATTTAAACATTCACGACTGCAGCCCCAATGTTGTTTAAGGTCTAGTCCATGTATTGACAAGGGTATTGGGCTTTCTAGGTGGCAAACCCTAAGCATCCTAAGCCCTGAACATCCTACACCTCAAACATCCCAAAACCCAAACACCACCCAAACCCTGAATCCCAACAGCATCCACACCCGCAAGGACCCAATTTGAGCCCCAAGAGGACCTTCAGGACTAAACCCATGTAATAGGGTTTAGGCTTTAGGGTTTAGGGTTTAGGGCTTAGGGTCCTAAAACGAGTTGGCCCTAAAGCCCAAACAGAAACTGCCCGCTGCCAATTCAACCCATGATGCCTAAGACCATGAATCCTAAGCCCCGCAGCCTGCAAGAAAAAAGCACCTCAAAACGCTGAAACCCCAAGGGCTCAGGGCTTTTTTTCTGGTATCCGCTTCTACCTCTGGTTATCCTCCTTACAGCCATGTAAATTTCTAAACCCTAAGCCGAAGCCGAAGCCTTGCTATGAGCCTAAACCCTATAAGCCCTAAACCCTCAACCCTAATTAAACCCTAAACCCTATAAGCCATAAGCCCTAAGCCCTAAGCCCTAAACCCTAAACCCTAAACCCTAAACCCTAAACCCTAAACCCTAAACCCTAAACCCTAAACCCTAAACCCTAAACCCTAAACCCTAAACCCTAAACCCTAAACCCTAACCCAACCTATGAAGCCTTGAAGGTCACAGTCGCAGCGAGCGAGGGAGTTACTACTGCTGCTTGGTTCAGTTCGGCTTAAGGGTTTAGGGTTTAGGGTTAGGGTTTAGGATTTTAGGATTCAGGCTTTTGGGTTTTAGGATTTGGGGGTTTGGGATTTAGGATTTCGGGTTTACACTCCGAGCCCTAAACCCTACACCCAAACCCTAAACCCTAAGCCCCAAACCCTAGACCCTAAACCCCAAAACCCAAACCCCAACCCCGAACCTCAACCTCAGTCCAAAGGCCCCTTGTGAGCCCCAAGCATCCTGGAGGGGCTTCATTTCAACCCACACCAAAGGCTCATAGATTACCGGGGAACCTCCTCAACCCCAACCCTAAACTACGCCCGGAACCCCTGTACCGGTTTAGGGTTTAGTGTTTAGGGTTTAGGGTTGGGTTCAGGGTTCAGGGTTCGGCCTTGGCGTTCATAGTGTCGAGCTGACAGTTGCTTATTCTCTCACACGCACAAGCAACTGACCGATGTGTAGTTCCCATCACAGACATCCATGGGTGAGAATTGTGTTGGGGCAGACAGCCTTGGGAGGGAAGGGAGAGATGGGAAACCGTCAGCCGCTTTCTTGCCTTCTTGTCTTCTTCTCCATCGAACCGCAGCAACACGTATCTCTCACGGCCATGTCGCCGCTCATTCCGTTGGCAAGTCCTGCTGGGGCGGCGCTTCTTGAGGAGGCAACGACTAGACTAGACCTCATAGCTGGCCATCGTCGTCAGGTCGGTCTGACAATGTGTGGGGTCCGGACGTTGTGTCTGGTCCTCAGCGCAGGGAAGGCGGTGGAGTTCGACGACACGCTCAATGAGCACTCCAAGGACACCCACGAGCAGCAGCTCCTCGCGAAGCGGCGGGGCGATGTCGGGCCGTCCCTGCTCGACATTGAGACGAGCGGCATGTCACTGCCGCAGTTTGTTGAGATGGTGACGGACTTGGACGTTCCAGGGCTGAGCGGCGTGGACATCCATCACGCGGACGACTCACCGGAGCTTCGCAGCGCGGAGGACTTGCGGCGGCTACTGCTGGCTGGGATCGACCGCCCCACCACGTTTCCCGTCGTGAACTACCACATGACGACGCTCGGGCAGGGAACCGGTGACTTGCGTGGCCACTTCTCGCCCGTGGCGGCGTACCACGAAGACCAGGACGCGTTCTTGGTGATGGATACGTGGACAACCACTGAGCCAGTGTTTGCAAAAACTGCAGACCTGTGGCGATCCATCAACACTCCGGATTCAGCGTCAGGGAAACAGCGTGGTGTTGCTCTCGTCACCATCACCCCCCAGTCAACAGATGCAGCAGTAGAAGCTCCACCGAGCAAGTGACAACTCTCCTCAAACACGTGCACATACAGCACAGCTTCTTGCTCTGGCTTGCTGGTGACAGCCTGGACGACGAGAATTGCGACAGCCGGAGCTTGGTGTCCCGGGACGGCTTGGACCTCTACTCCCTCTCCTGGGTTAAGAAGTCTGAGGTACCAATGTCAGAGCTTCAGGGTCCCGGTACAGGAGCTGGTGCTGGAGCGTCGGGGCTGGGCCCTTCGGACAGATTATCGCTTGCTCGTTCTTCCGTCTCACAGCTGTGTTGCTGCCTCCAACTTTCAAGTCGTCCGAAGTCGCGCTCCCCCGGTTCAAGCTCCTTCGACAACAACAGCGGAGACTCCCGAGTTGGCGTTACGGTTTAGGGTGGAGAGAGGGTTAGGGATGTTAGTGTGCTCATCCGAGGCTTCGGCAGCAGCAGATAGCCATGGGTGGCATTGCCGGCGGCGCTTGCGACGGCACTTCTGGGTTCAATGGACCTTAGAAGCCAGAGAGGGTTTAGGTTGAGGATTTAGGGAGGTTGTTCCTCAGTCCCAATCATTTTATCGGCGGACTTGAAGAGCAGTTTATTAGGGAGTTTTGCGGGTCTTAGTCATCTAGACCCCTTATCGGAGGTGCCCTGCAAGCCCGAAACCCCAAACCCCTGAAGGCCTCGAAGACTCGACCACTGACACTCATCAGAATAGGATCAATACCCTGGTAAACTTGCTACTATGCCACAAAGATAGTCGTAACAATCATGAAGCAGCTACCTAAACCCTAAACCCTAGAGGCCCTCGACCCTAAGCTCGTCCACCCCAACCTCCACATTCTGCCCATCTCCTCAATGAGGTGCCGGTCTCCTGGTGAGCCGCCTGCGCTACAACCAGGAGGACCGCACCGGGCTGTGCAGTGGGCCTTGAGGCCTTAAGGGTTGAGGCTTTCGCCAGGCAATCGAAGCCGACTTTAAAGCTTGAAGACTAAAGCCTACAGCCTACACCCTACACCCTGCAAACCCTGAACCCTAAACCCTAAACCCTAAACCCTAAACCCTAAACCCTAAACCCCCTAAACCCCCTAAACCCCCTAAACCCCCTAAACCCCCTAAACCCTAAACCCTAAACCCTAAACCCGACCACCTGGCTCAGGATGACACGACAACCGAGTCGGAGGACGACTCCATGGCATCTCCCGCTTCCAGTCTTGAATTGGGGCTCAGGGTTTAGGCTTTAAGGTTTAGGGTTTGGGGTTTAGGGTTTAGGGTTTAGGGTTTGGGGTTTAGGGTTTAGGGCCTAGGTTTGCAAGAGGGAAATTGTGTTTTTTCGGGTTTCGGGTTGAGGGTGAAGTGAAGTGCTTGAGGTTCAGGGCTGAGAGTTGAGGGTGAATTTGTCTGGAACCCCAAACCCCAAACTCCAGAGCCTTAATCCGTGAGCCCTGAGCCCTAAACCGTAAACCCTAAACCCGAAACCCTAAACCCTAAACCCTAAACCCTACCCCACTGAGAGCTCGCGTTCTTGGAGGGAAAACTTCGGCTTTGAGGGTTCGGGGGTTCGGGCTGCCAGTGCTCAACGATGTTTTTTTTTAGCTGGATGCCCAGTAGTACCCTTATTCCCTTTTTTGGGGGTTTAGGTTCCCTTATAAACCCCTTTAAGCAAAAAAGGGCACCCTTTTTAAGCCTTGGTTACTGGGCAGCCTAGGTAGTTCTCTGAGTTGGGTGTCCCATTTCTTAGTGGCATCATGCTCCCTATGGAATCCTAACCTTTCCTTCCCTAGGACACTGGACAACTAAGATTTTGTGGCCTTTATGGAGCACAGCGCACGGCACCCTGAGAAAGACTGTCCCCAACATCGGACCCTAGTTAGAGGACTGGCCTTTTGCAGCCTCAACTATAAGGAATATACGATTTCGACGTAGAGCGCCCCACCCGCAATAGCGCAGGGTGACGAATCTTGCTGTGGACACGAACATAGCTTTTGCAGCCAAGTAATATAAAAAAAAACTGTCTGCTCAGCATACACCATACACATGTCAGCTCACTTTACCTGCACACCACTTGCTAGTAAGGACCCTTACTTGGAGGTTCAGGGGTAGTTAGAAGTAGGGGCCATAATTATAGTTGCCCCACTTAAAGCCCCTTTATAGCTACCCAGGCACCTTCAAGTACTATGTAGCCTTTTACGCGGTCTCCTGGGCCCCCCACTCCCGAACTCCCCGCGAAGAAGTAGACCAATTAAGGGGAAGGCGGAGAAGGTTGCGCCGCAGTGGGACTTCCAGCAGTACATACGCAAGAAGCACTTGCTCCGACCACTCAGGCCAGAATGTGGGGGTTTCGGGTGCAGGGTTTTCACCCTAAACCCTTATCCCTACCCTAAACCGTATTAACTTTCCAAAGCTAGAACTCGAAGAGGAGCTTGGGGAGGTTTAGGGTTAGCTCATTCAGGGTCAGGGTGACTGCGCGAGTTTTGAGTTAGCGGAGATGAGGGCATGACGATTGATAGCGCGACGAAGCGAAGGCCGCGTCGCCTAAGACCCTAAACCCTATAAACCTTAAACCCCAGAACCCAAAGCCTAAGCCCTAACTAAACCCTAACCCAAAAAAACATAACCTAAACCCTAAGCCCCAAACCGTAAGCCCTAAGCCCTAAGCCCTAAACCCTGAAACCTGAACCCTAAACCCTAAACCCTAAACCCTAAACCCTAAACCCTAAACCTTAAACCCTACACCCTAAACCCTAAACCCTAAACCCTAAACCCTAAACCCTAAACCCTAAACCCTAAACCCTAAACCCTAAACCCTAAACCCTAAACCCTAAACCCCAACCCAAAGAGAGCCCATAGCCCTCAACTCATTGGAGGCCAGAGTCTCAGCAGACGTTCTTGGCCTGGTTGGGGCGTCGGCTGCCATTGCGACTTGGTGCCGAAAGTCTACCGGGGCGCATTTAGGGTTTCCGAAAATTAGGGTTAAGGGCTCAGGGTTTAGGGTTTAGGGTTTGGGGTGTAAGGTTCAGGGTGTTTGGGGGCTTTACCTTAAACCTAGACACCCCCGTGCGGCCCAGTGCAGGTTCAGCCAACTTCGGCAGGCCCGGCCTGGGGTGTGGGTATTGGGTTGCAGGGTTTCGGGTTAGGGCCCGTGGCCGAATCCCTCAGAGCTATCCAGATACTGCAGTGACTGCAGGTTTGCAGGTTTGACGGGTTCAAAGCGTCAAGGCGTCACGTCGTCAAGGCTTGAAGGAGTGAAGGTGTCAAGGTGTGGGAGGGGCGAGGCAGGGAGGATCCGGGTACCTGAATTCAAACTTGAAGCCGGCAGGCATCCTGGACGTCGACCGCATCGGATTTGATTGCGGGCAGCTCGACGTTGAGCCCAACCCACATGTTCAGAGTTGAGTGCTTCGTATCATGCTAGGTTATACTAGGTTGGTTCTTGGGACATGTTTTATTTTCCTTAATTATTTGGGTTGTAAAGGACCCTGTATCTAAATATTGTTCAGAGGGTTTAGAGGGCAGCCGAGATAAGGCTTCCGGAGGTTTGGGGCCGAGGATTTTTATTCTTGGCCAAGGATGGTCACGTAAGAACCGCTTTGTCAGCAGGTCGTTGTCATAGGGGTGGTTGTCCAAATTATGATCCCTTTTGGGGTACCCTAACTATGAGGTGCCGTATCCATCATTTTGACAACCACCCATAGGGATTCTTAGGCAGCAGGCACTACCGGATTGGGGGATTTTCTGGGTCGGTGGGGATCCCAAAGTCCACGGCCCTAGCCCATCCCAGCAGTGTTCTCCAAATTCAGAACCCCAGACCCTAGACCCTAAACCTTAAACCCTAAACCCTAAACCCTAAACCCTACTAGGGTTGAGCCCGAACTCCCACACCCCCAGGATGGTCCAGATTGGCCATTGCAATAGATATGGCAAATAAGATGCCCAGAGTCTTTTTAGGGTTTTGGGGTTTTAGGGTTTTAGGGTTTTAGGGTTTTAGGGTTTTAGGGTTTTAGGGTTTTAGGGTTTTAGGGTTTTAGGGTTTTAGGGTTTTAGGGTTTTAGGGTTTTAGGGTTTTAGGGTTTTAGGGTTTTACCCTTGCGAACCTCAAAGCTTCCTCTTCTTTTGCTCAGAAAAGCACGGTGGGCTTTGGGTTCCCTACACCCTGAGCCCGAAATTTCCCAGACTCTCCGAGGCCTGACTGTGGGCGTGATGGGCGTGCCCGAGAGCCTCTCCTATGCCAGTATCGCAGCCTTGCCTTTCGCACCTTTGCCGCAAGACCTCACCAAAAAGAGCAAGTGGTTGGGCCTTCTAGGCTGTGTAGGCTAGCCCAAGAACTCCGAAATTGCTAAACCAACCCTAAACCCTAAACCCTAAACCCCAAACCCTAAACCCCAAACCCTAAACCCTAAACCCTTAAACCCTTTGAGGCTCCAGTTTGAGCCTTCGGAGTTCGCCTTGCGGGTTCCTGTTGAGACGGAGGGTTGAGGGCTTAGAGGGCTTATAGGGCTGCAAGGGTTTATGGGGATTATAGGGTTTAGAGGTTTTTGGGGTGCATAGGGCTTATGGGGTTTATGGGGATTATGGGGATTGTGCGTAGGGTTTATAGGGTTTAGAGGGTGTTTAGGGTTTATTGGGTTTATAGGGTTTTTACCGTTTATAGAGTTAATTGGGTTTACAGGGTTTTAGGGCTTATAGGGTTTTTAGGGTGGGCTGCGAGGTTGAGTTTGGGAGAGGAGCCCCAAGAGCCCCATGCCCACAGAGGCCCCCAGGCCCAGGACCCCAGGGCCAAGAAGCGACACTGAGGCCATTGAAGGAAGCCCCGAAACCCTACTTGGAGGTTCAGGGCACTTATACCTGAAACACTAACCCCAACCCAAAACCTCAGCCCTGAAAACCAAATTTCAGGTCCTTGTTCAGGGTTTAGGATTGTCGGGGTTGAGGGTTTGGGGTTGTTGGGGTTGAGAGGGTGTTTTTCTGCCTCCATGGCTCTTTGATTGTCTAGGAGGAACCAAGTCGACCTAAACTAGTCACAGCCCCCCCCCCCCCCCCCCCCCACCCCCCGTTTAGGGTTCAGGGTTAAGGGTTTAGGGTTAAGGGTTTAGGGTTTAGGGTTTAGGGTTTAGGGACCCTGCAAAGCCCGTGACAGGAGTACGGACTGCAGCTTGATTGAATCTAGAGGGCTTGGGGGCGACTAAGGCCCGGGGGGCCTTGGAGTTGAAGTTTAGGCTTAGGGTTTAGGGTTTGGGGTTTAGGGTTTGGGGTTTAGGGTTTAGGGCTCGACAGGAGATGTGCGTAGGGCCTGCAGCGCAGTCTTCGGGAGGCAGGCCGTGAACAAGAGTCGACTATCCCAGTTCAAGTTGCTCGTAGACCCGTTTGAGAGGACGAGACTGTTGCGAGGAAGGTATCTCCCAAAGGGGGAGAGTAGTTGAGGGGGCGTTGTCTTAAAATGGTCAGGTCGTAGTCGTAGGTCGTGACACGATGATCGACACGTCGCGTTCGCCTGGTGACTATAGGCGTGCGGCGTGCTAGTCACGAGGTGTACTCTCTCAAAGCAGATAACGCCTTCAGAGCTGGTTCAAAGCATCGAGCATCAAGGCATTCACTCCGAAACGGACATGACACCAGGCCTCTTTTGTTTAACCCTGAACCCTAAGCACTAAACCCTAAACCCTAAACAGGAACTCAGGGATGGACTGGTGGTGTTGTTATATACCAGTCGGAGCCCTGACGCGCGAGATACTTGAAGGCCCAGGATAGTGCTAGGCAGCTATGAGACGAGGATGGCGGGTCCACAGTGGTATCCGTATTCCGGGTTTGGGTTTTAGGCCTTGTAGTAGAGGTAACCTTGAACCTTTTTGGGGTAATAGAATCCCCTTATAATCCTAAAGGTTAACCTTTGTTTCCCCCAGGTTACTGGACAACTTATAGGTTCCTAAACTACAAACAGCCAAAACAACAGAGTAGACGCCCTACATGGTCCCTGAAACAAAGTTTCTTCTGCTGTCTCTTCGTAGTAAGAAAAACCCAACTGAAATTGTGTGAGTCGGAGCCAGGGGTTCTTCGCATCCGCGCCTTCGGGCCTTCGCGCCACAAACCCTATAACCACTTTGCACCCTAAACCGTACCTCGAAGAGCACACGAACCTACTTTCTTGCAGGCTTCCCTTAGGATTCTCAGAAACCCTTCCCAAAACGGTTTTGGGGTTTAGGGTTTAAGGTTTAGGGTTTAGGGTTTAGGGTTTAGGGTTTAGGGTTTAGGGTTTAGGGTTTAGGGCTAAGAGAAGGTATGCCCTGGTCATGCCACAGCTGGTCTATTCACTCCTCGGCCAGTCGCGGCAGTGGCCTGGCGACTCCCTAGAAAAGAATTTGGGGTTTCTGGTTTTAGGGTTTAGGGTTCGGGGTTTAGGGTTTAGGGTTTAAGGCAGAATTTGGGGTTTCTGGTTTGGGGTATGGGGTTTGAGGTTTAGGGTTTAGGGTTTAGGGTTCAGGGTTTAGGGTTTAGGGCTTAGGGGGCTCCAGGCTTTGAGGGCTTAGCGGTAATAACTTTTCGTACTCGTAATGGAAGACCCGATGGAATGTGCAATCTTCAGGGGTCGGGGGGTTACATCTTTGGAGGGGGCTCGTGTTGTTTTACGGTCTTGGTGAGTTGTGTGAATGTGCTGCGTTGAGCAGAGGCTGAGAGCCACGGGGGTGCTAGGGATAGTTCTCTTGTTGGCCTAGCTTTGCTCAGCTTACAGGTGAGGGTGTCTAGGGGGTAGTATAGGCCTGAGGGTTTACAAGAAGGCAGACATGTTCCCTCAGTTCGGGTCCCGTCTTGTTGGATGATACGGGCCCGTCCGTATGCAGAATGCCTGGTGTGGCTTGACCGTTGTTTGGGGCTTGGCTCCAGAACCTAATCCCTAATTTTAACGCTACGCGGCCCGCCTCGGACCGGCCCAGCGCACATGGTGATTCCGCAGCGCCCACGTCGCTGGACCCCAAGCAATGAGGGTTGGGTTTAGGGTTTAGGGTTCCGGGTTTATGGTCTATAGGGTTCAGGGTTGAGGGTTCGTTTAGGGTTGCGGGCTTTGGGGGCTCACGCTTCACAATTTGGCGAAAAGCAAAAAAGGGGGGGCCTGCTGGGCGGGGCTTCAACTGCCCCTGGTGCTGGCGAACCGTCCGCTTTGAGATCGTGGTCGCCTACGGGGGGTACCCATTCCAGGCAGAAAAGAGGGGCCGACGTGCGGCTGTTCTCACAACCTATACACCTTCGGCCCGAGGCCTCGGCGGATTTACCAAAAACCCTAAGCCCTTTCGAGTACCCCCTTCTTCCCCTGGTTAGTTGAGAATCCGGGCCCTGAACTATGTGCGGGACTAGTGGGCAAGCTAGAGGAGGTAAAGACACAGAACCCTAAACCCCAAACCCTAAACCCCAAACCCCAAACCCTAAACCCTAAACGTAGGGTAATGGGCGTGGGTCTAGGGTCTCTCCTGGAAGCCTCATTGCAAAAAACCTGTCCCGGCTTTACAAGCAAGAACCGTGACCTTTGAGCGGAGCAATAAGTTCGAAGACGCAGCCTGAACGGCCCACAATAAAGTAAGTCTGTTCATTAGGGGCTTTTACTCGCTACTTTGCGTTCAGCTAGATACTCGTATGTTTTAATTTGGCAATGAATGAAATGAAGCGCGCATATTTTCTGCATCGTATGGGCTTTTGTTTTGGCGTGCGAACCAAGTCTTTCATGCACGCCATATTAGAGATGTCATTCTTTCCCCGGGCTCACTATACAAACATCTTATTAATTGCCCAGGATAAGATTCATAGTAAGTGAAGAGAAGATGTCAAGTGAAAGAACATACATACATATATATATATATATTCAGTGAACTGTGAAGTGAAAGAAAATACACACATATATGTATATATATATATATATATACTCAGTGAAGAGTAGAAGTGAAGTGAAAGAGCACGTTGCAGGCTCATGGTGGGCCCGGTGGCGATGCTGTCGCTTCTGGTCCACGCAGGCCTCGAAGGAAGCCTCGTGGATGGGCTCGCAGAAGAAACCTTTGTGATAGCGCGGGCAACATTTTTGCATCTTCAAGGGTGCTTGAAATCAAAAAATAAGGAATTGAATTAGCAGGATTTTTTGCACTTTTAGTAAGGAACAGAAGTTTAATTTTTTACATACGATCCCAACCATGAACTGAACTAGAACTAGCCCACAGCGTTTGGGGCGTTCTGGGGGGTTGCACCCTGAGACGCCCCTAAATAAAGCGAAACTTTCGACCCCCCCAAAAAAAAAACGTTTAGGGTTTAGGGTCTAGGGTTAAGGGTTTAGGGTTTAGGTGTTCCCAAGGTAGGGTTTTGGTTCCACGGGTTCGGGTTGACCAGAGAAAGTAAGGTTTGAGAGAGACCTAAGACTTAAACCATACACCCTAAATCCTAACAGGGACCGTGGCGTAACCAAAAGGATAGTCAGTCCAGATGGCGTGCCTTTAGGGCTTAGTGTTCCTTTTGTCCGGCGCTCTTAGGGGCTCCCTTCTTGAAAGTCGGGCTGCAAGAGGGCTCCCGCAAGGGACCACAGCCAACCCCCTGAACCCTAAACCCGAAGCCCGAACTCGCCCTTCCTATTGGATGGCATCCCGGTCGAGTGAGGTTCATCTAACATAGGGGTCGGAAGAATTACAAATACTATTTTCCTCCCTTTAAAATTATACTACATTAACCCCCAAAACCCTATTCTAATTGTTCAGGCGCCTATATTAGGTCCACAGCTACAAGTTGGTTCGGGAACCGTTTCGAGGGTTGCGGGTTGAGGGTTTGGGGTGTAGATCGTACACCCCCACCCACCCGCACCCCACTGCTTGCATTCGCTCAGGATCCGGTACAGTGCCCCGAGTGGTTCGCCTTGCAGAAGAACGAAACTGCCGAAGACTTCAACGTGCTGGTGCAGAGCGAGGTTTGGCGGCTAGAAGCTGTAGTTTCCTTAGGAGTTTTGCTTTAGGTTTTGTTGAGGCAAAGCCCAAGGTAAGGTTAAACAATGCGCTTTCTTTTTCTTTGCGGTTCTAGGCGGGGGGGGGGGGGCATTGCTACGAAGTTTGTTAATTCTAGGGGCGGCATGAACCCAATAAGGCGTTTTTCAAGCTCTGGACCCCTAAACCATAAACCCTAAACCCCATGAATCCTAAACCCTCAGAATTTCGGGTGCGCAACATGGCAAGTCCTTGACACTCATGATTATTGAAAGTATGGAGCCATTGACTACCCTATCCCTATTCATGTGTGTGGGTGGGGGGTGGGTGAGGGGACATCCTCAGGAACATGTTTTCTTTTGATAAAGAGACCCAAGAGCTGGGGTGTCCGGTAGTACACTCATTCCCCCCCCCCATTTTTGCGGCTCTAGGATCTCCTTTCTGGTGATTGCGATTGTTCAAGAAAGGTTAATCGTTTAGGGTTTAGCGTCTAAAGTGCCCGAAACCTTCTTGGCTACGACTTTTACATCGCCCTTCTTCCAGTGCATTTTGCCGGGCAGGTTGTCTGAAAGATTATGACCACCAAAGCCTTACAACCACCGTTTAAAGCAACATGCCCCGTTTTCAGTCAGAGCTCCTAGTCGTCATCCCCAAACCCTAAACTCGACGTCCTCCACCCCAGAGCCAGAACCCTAAGCCATGTCCTGAAGGTGTGCCAGGAGAAGTACATCGCGATGGCCTCCCAGCTGGGTATATAGTGGGCCTAAAACGCCTGCTTCAGAGGTTTAGGGCTTAGGGCTTGTTAGGGCTTCTTAGGGGTATAGAGCCGAAGCCCTGAGCCCGGAGCCGCCTAAGCCCCAAGCCCTATCCGGGACCCTGAGCCGAGACTAATGACAGGTCATCTGCATCCTGGGTGGACTTATACTTACTTCTCCGACAGCTGAACTTTAAACTTTTTGGGTTTCCTTATGGAGAAGTAAGTATAGTAAGGGCAATATGGAGAGTTCTTCTGGGAAGCTTCGAGTTCGAGCCTTGGGGATGCAGGTATCTTGATCAGCTACCGCCCGAAGCTCGGAGATGTTGTCGCTGCGAGATTGGGAAGGTAATCACCAGCATCCTCCCCGATAAAGTTGTATTGTAAGCTGTCCAAGATACCTAGGGCTTAGGGTTTGGGGTTTAGGGGTTTAGGGGTTTAGGAGTTTAGGGTTTAGGGTGTAGGGTCAAAAAGGACCTCGTCTTGTGCAGACATCAGGGGTCGCAGTCACTAAGACGATCTTGACCTCGCTGCTGGCCGGATCTTTCCTGCTGCTTGCTTGCGCCCCTTTGCTGCACGTGAGGCAAGAGCCAAGAGTCTTAGGGTTTAGGGTTTGGGGTTCAGGGTGTAGGGTTTAGGGTTCCCAAAACCCTCTGAGCCCTGGAACCCAAACTCTAAGCCCAAATCCAGAGGCCTCTCATCTCCTGTGGTTCGCTTCCTGTCGGTTTGGGCATGATGCTACAAAGGAGATCATCAGAAACCCTCCCCCGAGAGGCAGCTTGACACGGAATCCGTTACACGGAAGCTGTGTAGGCATGTGGCAGTTTTGTTGTGCGAACATCGGTCAGACGTTCCCAGGCCGCCTTTGGTCCTATCACTGTGCTTTTACCTAGGACTCCCGTTTCTGAAGATTACCTCAGAGTTCCCTTCACCCTCAAAGCGAAACCCTAAACTCTAAAGTCATTTCCGAATGGGGGTGATTGGGACGGGACTTTTCGTGGAGTGACTCAAGCCTGTCTAGGGCCTTGGTTGCTTAGCGAAGTAGAAGTTGAGGAGGAACCCAGAACCCAGTATCGTTAGCACGGGTTTGCCTTGCCAAGTGCACTCACAACTTACACGGTGCCGCCAATCCGAGAGAGAGAGAGAGAGAGGTGCTTCAGCTGGGCTTCCTGCTCAAGTTCCTGGGACACCCTGCCGTGGTCTCAGCTGTTTCTGAGACTTCGAGTGACCAGTGAGGCGTCGACGCCTCTTGACACCCCAAGCCCCCTGAAGCACTACAAACCCTAGAGCTGAAACCCTCAACCCCATTACTTCAAGACCTGGGCCCAAACCTGTCTGGATTCCCGTAGGCTTGAGGGGGGGGGACGGGGGGGGGGTTGCTGTGAACAGGAGTATAGTACTCGGACGTGTACAAGAAAAGGGGTATTCACCCCTCACAAACAATCCTCAACCCTAGGGTTTAAGGGTTTAGGGCTAAGAGGGGTTAGGATTTAGGCTTTAGGGATTCGGGTCTGGGGGGTTGGAGTTCGGAGGGCGTCGAGGGTTGAGGGAGCAGATTTAGGGTTGTCAAGTGTCACTTCTCTTAATTCTTAGTACCCCTAAGAACCCGTAGGCAACTTCCTGGAGTTCCTTTTGTGTGGGTAGTACCCAATGTGATCGGTAGCGCAAGGTAAGAAGACGATTGCCCAGCCCTGGCACTAAACCCGAAACCCCCAACGGAAAACAAGCCATTGGTTCTAGGCCGCAAGCTTGGGCCCCCTCTGCAACCCCAGAAGCCTTCGATCACATCTTGAAAGGGTTTCAGGCTTAGGTTCGGGGTAAGAAGCCCTAAACCCTTAAACCCTAAACCCTATAAACCCTAAACCTGCAAAATTGTCAGATGAACCGTCAGGTGGTTTCTGGCTTCTCCACCGGCTCAGCCTTGATCATCATGCTGCCCGGCATCGCTAGGATCTTTCGGCTTCGGGTTTAGTGTTCAAGGTTGAGGGCTTATAGGGCCCTTTTCGGGGGGTCCTTGGGATGTTCCCCCTTTTCTAAGAGTCCTTAATCGGGGTATTAGTCTAAGGGGTAGTTGATGTGTGAGCTTGCCCACTTTGTTGGGGCGGCTGCTAACGACTGGTCTGAGAAGAAAGGATGCTAGTTGAGGGCGCTCCCTGTTTTCTGAGGCCGGCGCGACACATAAACACGCCTGCATCTGCTGCATGTGTACCAACAGCCTCGGAAGCTCCACGCTTGAGACAACCACAGCCAAAGCAGCAACCCCCCCCCACCCCGAAAGAGGCACGAACGCAAGCCCCAGGCAAAGGGTTAGGGTTTAGGGTCTAGAGTTTAGGGTTCAGGGTTTCGGGTTTAGGGTTTAGGGTTTAGGGCTTACTGTTTGGTCGCTGGGTTGCCCTAGGGAATCCACCGGAACCAGCTGCTGAGGATCAGCCAGTTCAAGAACTTCCTTGGGGTAAAGGCAGCCCTGAGAGCTGTTTTGATTGGGGTTTAGGGTTTCGGGTTTAGGGCTTAGGGTTTAGGGTTTATTGCAGTTTACTAGGTTGGCTTTTGGAACATTTATTTCCTTATTTTGGGTTTAGACAGGACCCTCTATATACATATTGTTCAGAGGGTTTAAAGGGCAACCCAGTTTAGGTTTGTGGGTTGTGGGTTTAGGGTCTGCAGTCCCATAAAAGGCCACTGTAACGACTGGGTATCTCTCAAGAGATGCACCCCATACAACGCGAGAACTTTTGGTACTGTATAGCCGACAGCCCTCAAAGCGGAAAAACGTTTGGGGAAAGCCCCTAACCCTAAACCCTAGTTTTGCAACTTCCCGGCTAATTGTCGGCCATGGCGCCTGCTCCAACCCTGGGCCTGGAGTCCCTGAACCTAGATGTTCTTGAACACAATGGAAAAACTTCAGCGCTGGATCCTAACATAGGGGTGTCGGAACAATTGGTAATAGTATTCCCTTCTGGTCCCTTCGTAGTCATACTACAATAGCCCCCCCCAAAACACCATTCTAATTATTCAGGCCCCTATATCATGTATTCCGTGTGATCTCGAGCTTGGGTCCACCTGTTGTGCAGGTCGAGGAGTCCGCCCCTCCGCAGCAAAAAGGGTGGATCGAAAAGCCGGCTTCGGGCCGAGGGTGATCGGGTTTTTGTAGCTCCTAAACCCTAAACCCTAAACCCTATATTTTTTTTGGGTGGGGCGAGGTGAGGTTACAGGGTTCAGGAGGGTTGCAGGTTAAAACCTTGAACCCGATAAGTCCCAAGCTCTTTCCTGCTGTGGGAGCGTGGGTCTATCTTGCAGCGGGTTGAGGCCTAAACCCTAAACCCTAAAACCCTAAACCCTGGGAATGGTTTTTGTAATTTTGGTTTGTATAAAACCCAAGAGGATATTAAACATACTATTTATATTAGGGTTCCAAGCGGAGTATAGGTCTAGGGTCTGCTGTGTTTCTGCAACCCTCTCATCCTTTGTATGCCAAGAGGCGAAGTGCAACTACAAGCGGCCAGCCGGGCCACAGCCTAGGTACTGGTTGGGGATCATTCTCTTCTCCTGCTGCTTGATGATAGAACCCTGACCCTTAATGAGGGTTCCTTGGGTTTGAACTGAGTTTGTGTGTGGGTTGGGGGGGGGGGGGGGGGGGGGGGGGGGGACGGCGGCGGCTGCAGTCTACACGAGCTAAGGAGTTTCCGATCTTGAGCATCCTGTCCTTGATCGAGCATGCACCCAAAGGGCAGCCGATCACGCTGGCGCAGCTTCTGCTGCATGGGACTGTTAAACGCCACGGTAACACCTTCACCCCTACCTCGGCGGGTTCAAGGCTTACTTTTTTGTCGTAGGTTGCCTACGGACTCCCTGGTGGAAGGGGGGAGGGTGGGGGGAGTTGTAGTCAAAGCCTTCGTGGGTTTGGGGTTCTTAAAGGTGCCCTCTACACCCTCTAGGAGCCCTGTAAGCCATTCACTCTCTTTCTTTGGGCCTGGGGTCGTCGGAGGTGCTTCCAACCCTAAACCATTGAGTAGCTGGGGGGGGGGCTTATGAACTCAGCAACTAACCGAAAATTCCGCCTCCCTTTTGCCGGGCTTCTTTTCACATCTTAAGAAGGTTAGAAAAGGGAGCCCTAATCATCAGGAACTCCCATGCCTGGTGAATCCCACATCACACACGCCTGGCCTAAACCACAGGAAGCTTCATCTCAGAAGAACCCCAAAGTTTCACATATTTCCGACCCCCTGCATCAGCAACCACGAAGCCTGGCCGCATCACGCAGCCAGAAGCGCTCGGACTTCCTCCTTTAACCCCAGAACCCCCCCCCCCCCTCAAACCCCTAAGCCCTGAACCTATAAACCATAAATCCTGAACCTTCAAAGCAATCCCAAGAGGGCCCACGTCACTCCCTCAAAACCCCTCCAACCCTGCAACCCTGGAGGTAAACTTTGTTGGTGTTTAGGGTCTGGGGTTTAGGCTGCGCACTGGGAGCCTGCGAGGTTCGGCCTCGTGTTCACCGCGACGCTGGTGGGTCTTCGAAAGCTTTTCGGCCGGACGCGGAGTTTTTTTTTTTTAAGCCCTAAACCCTCAACCCTATAGGGTTACCAGCCGCTAAGAGTAACAGGTAAACCCTAAATCCCTAAACCCTAAACCCTCAACCCTAAACCGCAGAAAGTGCCAGGTTCGGCTACGCCTATCCCCGGTGGAAGCTGATCGGCTCCCTGGGGCCCCTGATCAGCTGCGCCGGGCTCTCAGGTGTCTTAGGGTTTAGGGTTTTGGGGTTTTAGGGTTTTGGGGTTTTTGGGTTTTTGGGTTTTTGGGTTTTTGGGTTTTAGGATTTTACGGTTTTAGGGTTTTAGGGTTTTAGGTCTGAGGGCTTACTGCTTACGGCTTAGGGCTTAGGGTTTAGGGCTTAGGGCTGAGGGCTTAGGGCTTAGGGCTTAGCGCGTGGAGCCTAGGGCTTCGTTCGGGCTTAGGGCTTAGGGCTTCGGCCTTGGGGTTTGGATGATTTTCGGGCTTAATTAGGATGATTTTGGGTTTTTTGGGCTCAGATATCGGGGTTTCAGGGGGTTATTTACGAGGGTCCGAGAGTCAGTCTTGGATTAAACTCTTTTTCGCCAATGCAGGCCCTTAGCCTACTTCCCGCACATGGAGCCAAGGAATTCCAAGAGAGCCACGTGTAGGTTTGGAATGTCTCGTTCAGTTCCCACTCTTACAGGTGTGGGGTGCCTGAGAACCCTGCCACGACCAGATTCAATCAATCTCTCACACGTGCAAAATCGCTGAACAGGCAATGGGACGTTTGGGGTTTTGGGGGGGTTAGGGTTTAGGGTTTAGGGTTTAGAGTTTAGGGTTTAGGGTTTAGGGTTTAGGGCTTCTGAAGACAACATTGGGTACTGCGCGCCATCTCTTGCAGGTCTCTGGGGTGTTGCTGATCTACTTTGTCGAGCCGCTGCAACACATCCGAGGACCCTCGGCCCACGGCTTGCTGGGTTTTGGCGTGTATATAGGGGTCGGACGGAATCTAAGAGTTACTAATGGTCCCTTTGTATTTATACTATACTATAAGAACCCCCCGAAACCGTGTTCTAGTTATTCAGGCCCCTCTTGTAGGGTTTCCATCTTGGCGAGGAGGAGTGGAGTGTTGGATATACTGCTGAGAGGTTTAGAAGGTTTAGCCAGAATGTGTCCCCTGGGACCAATTAGCAGAGCTTCTCCACGAACATGCATGGGATCCTTACCACCCCTATGTACCTCAATGCCCAACCCAAAGTACGGCCCAAATAATCCTTATTTGGGCAAGTCTTGGGTTAACGGTTTGGGGCTTGGTAAGGTGGGGGCAGTGTAGGATCCCGCAGAAGCTGTGAAGGACTGGACTACGTCCATGAGGTTCCGGGTGGGTCTTTACCGACCAGCACCTTGCAAGCATTTCCTGACTTGTTTAGGCTCCGTAGGGTTAAGTTTCAGGATTTTCGGGGTTTAGGGTTGAGGGCCTGGGTCTAGGAGTCTAGGCTCTGCGATGCCCCTCAAAGCCAGCAAAGAATTTGGAGAGTCGAAGTTTTTTGATTTTCCAAGAAATGAGGGGAAGGAATCACCAAAAGCAACTGCTGAATTGTCTGTCTTTTTATACTTGGAGGGTCATGGGTACTTATAAGTGGGTAAAAGTAGGGTAGCTATGGCTAATAACCTTATTTAGTGTACTTATAACCCCACTTATAAGTACCCATGAACCTTCAAGTAAACGATATTGAGAGAGATGAAAACGAAAATAAACGATCATGTCAGAACTTTGTGACGAATGCAAGTAAATTTTAGCCTAACCCAAAGACCGAGCGAATAAACAATCACAACCAGCAATGAACAAAAGGTAAGAAGAAGTAAAGCGAGAAAAGAGGGCACTAGTAGTTTTCAATCCTTGTCTTGGGGTCAAAGGTCAATGAGTGACAGGGGCAAATGTAGAGACACGAGAAGAAAACATGCAAGACACTACAAAGCAAAGCGAAGTAGGTGACCATCGGAGGAGACCAAACCCGCGAGAGGAAACACAAGAAACGAGGGAAACGACTAGGTGAGACAACAAGTGGGATACAGCGATGAAAAACATGGGTGCTGCAACCTACACCCCTCTCCGCTCCCCATTCCCCCCCCCGCCCCTCTCCACCCTCCACGTTTGAGCTCATGGCGGGCTTGCGGACAAGTTTACAGCTTATGGTTTTGTAGTGGGTTGGTTTCGGGTTCGGGATTACGGTTGGGCTGTTTAGGATTTTCACTTTGCCCCCCCCCCCCCCCTGCTGCGTGGTTGAGGGAAGCACTTAACATTCCACCTTACTCCCTTAAACCGTAAACCTTAAACCTAAACCCTAAAACCTAAGGCTTGGACATCATGTCTTCTTGGACTGCCCACGATGTTGCACAGACCATGCCGCTTGCGCTCTCGACTGGCTTCCTAGGCTGGAGGGGTGTGAGGGCTAAGGGATTCGGGGGGAGGGGGGGGGGGTAGGGTTTAGGGTTCAGGGTGTAGGGTTTAGGGTGTAGGGTTTAGGGTTTAGGGATTGGGGATTAGGGTTTAGGATGGGGGTGACATGACGTGGCCTCTGACCGCCTCATGGCTTAACCTTCCAAGGCCCTCGTCTGTAGTGAAAAACAATTTTTGGCACAAGAACACAATACATATGGCTGATATTGGGGGAGGGGGTTTGCTCCCCAGACCGCAAACCTTAATCTGCAGTGGAGCTGCTGAAGCCTTCGCCTGAGCACCTTGCCATTCAATTTTCCGAACGAGAGCTTAGGATTTCGGGTTTGGGGGTTTATGTTTGTCATGCCGCATCCCTGTAGTCCTGGCACCAAGAATGCCAGATTCCGCACATCCCAATGCTCCCCGATTGTGTGTTGGATGAACAATGCAGAACCATGAACTTCGAACCGAGGCTCAAACCCCGAAGCCCTAAACCCTAAACCTTACAACCCTAAACCCTAAACCCTAAACCCTAAACCCTAAACCCTAAACCCTAAACCCTAAACCCTAAACCCTAAACCCTAAACCCTAAACCCTAACTAGCTTCTTCAGGCTTTCTCGAAGCCTTCGCGACCGCACAGAACTTGGCCAAACAGCATGGCCCCTGAGCTTGAGCTGGAGTCGGACAGCCGAACCCTGCCCAGGGAGCCCGATGCCCAACACACCCGCGATCCGGGATCGTATCTTTGACTATGCAAGCAGGGGTCCCCTCTGTGAGGTACGGCCGTTGCTAGTCCCTGAATTAGTTTAGATGTATCGGGCCGCCCTGGGGTACCCACTAAGGTCCCCGAAGCTTGCTTTACACAGTCTGATTTCCTAAACAACAGTCCATGGCACACAGAAGTCCAATAGTCAAGCTCCGGCACAAACAGCTGCTAGTGTTTAGAGGGTTTACGTGCGCTAAACGGGTATAGTGCTCAACCCTAAATCACACCTTGCCCCGTCACCCCCAAAGCATATTCTCGCACGGATTGGGCTGGTTTGAATGAGAGTCGTAAGTGGGGGGGGAACTTTTCAGCAGGAAGTAGGACAGGTGTAGATATCGTGTGCCCAACAGTCTTCATCCTCCCACAACACCAACAGTGAAGAGCCCCTCCCACAAAGGGTGGGATTCCCATCATGGATTCCCTATGCACCCTAAGCCCAAAGCCCTAAAGCCCTAAACCCATTTTCGCAGCGAACCCGTGGGTCTTCAGCCTCCAGGACCTGATCCGATCCCCTGCAAGCCCCAAAGCTTCCTCAAGTCAGGCTACGACGTGGAATCCAGCCAGGACTGATCGGATGTCTGCTTCTTCCAGTTTGGGGGGGGACCATAGCAATTCGCCTTCTAAGCTTGGTCTCATCTACTGCGTAGCACTCACAATCCCACATAGCATGAAGTGTTATAAACCTTAAACCCCTCTGGCATATGTTGGACAAGGGTCACAAGGTTTTGAGAGGGCCAGCCCGGGATAATTTAGGATAAAGGGGTTTGTGGGCGGTTGCATGGAGGCACAGGATCGGATTTATTCGTTATCAGCAACTTTGGACTCAGTAAGTCATGGGGTTCAGAATCATCTCCGAGGTGCCGTAAACTACCAGTAGCAGCCACCCTTTAACAGGGCTTATTGAACGCGAAGTCCAAGGGTACGAGATCCTTTGACGACACTTGCTGGCATATGAAGCAGGGTGTATATTACTGATTTTGGTGAGTGTATATAAGGTTCTTCTTTTAATCTTGGTGACTGTATTTATTTGGTGTCCTTTTGGGGGTACAAAAAATATTAAACCCTGCTTCAGATGATTTGTCAACCAGAAGACGCTGGAATGTGAGAGTCGAGAGTCGAGGAGGTGCTTCCGGCACCCCTGTATACGATTTGCATCTCGAGGGAACAAACTTACCAGTGAAGGGCGCCCAGAGTTCAGGGAAGCTTCAAACTCTTAAGCCCTAAACCCTAAACAACCCTAGACCCTAAGCCCTAAGCCCTAAACCCTAAACCCTAAACCCTAAACCCTAAACCCTAAACCCTAAACCCTGAAACCGACACCCTCAGCCCGAAAGCCCCGAAACAAGACCTTCCAGGAACTCCTGGCCCTGGGCGCTTGCAACGTCGTCGGCGCCTTCTTCACCGCCTACCCGGTGATATCCTGAGAGGGTTTAGGGTTTAGGGTTTAGGGTTTAGGGTTTAGGGTTTAGGGTTTAGGGTTTAGGGTTTAGGGTTTGGGATTTGGGGTTTAGGGTTTTTCCCGGGCGTGAAATTGGGCTGGCTCTCTCTTTCTCTCCCTCTCTCCCTCTCTCCCTCTCTCCCTCTCTCCCTCTCTCCCTCTCTCCCTCTCTCCCTCTCTCCCTCTCTCCCTCTCTCCGTCTCTCCCTCTCTCCGTCTCTCCCTCTCTCCGTCTCTCCCTCTCTCCCTCTCTCCCTCTCTCCCTCTCTGCCTCTCTCCCTCTCTCCCTCTCTCCCTCTCTCCGTCTCTCCTTCTCCCTCTGATCCCTCTCTCACCTCTCTCGCTCTCTAGCTCTCTCTCTCTCTCTCTCTCTCTCTCTCTCTCTCTCTCTCTCTCTCTCTCTCTCTCTCTCTCTCTCTCTCTCTCTCTCTCTCTCTCTCTCTCTTATACCTTTATCCTGACAGGAGCCGCAGTACCAAGTGCCAACATGCTCACCCCACCTACATATCCCTCTACTCGTCGAACACCAGCTATCCACAACAACAAGTTCTGATGACTCAGACCGCTTCATTAGACGTTTCAAGTTTTGTTGCATCAAATTCATTCAGGCTGTGTTGGGCCATTGTGTGTGTGTGGCGACCTGGTGATTTGGGGCGGGGGGGGGGGGGGGCTTGATATTGAACCTTCAGGGCCCCGTGTTTAGGTTTCAGAGGGCAATGGGAATTCTAGGTCTGGGGTTTGGGGATTGTAGGATTCTGGGTGTTCAATCTTGGTTCTGCATTGTTTTAGGACTTTAGGGGATGCGGTTAGGGGATCCTGGCGCAGAGCCGAGAAGGGCAAACAAGAGCAATGCCCATGCCCTTCTTCCCACAGGCCCTCCCTTCTGAAATGTGGTGCCTTCAAGCACCCCCTACCAGAACCTGAGACCCAAACCCGAATTTAGGGGTCGGAATAGTTACTTTTAGTATTCCCTTAAAGGGCCCCCTTCATTCTTATACGATGATAGCCCCCTCCCCCCCCCTCACAGCCCTATTCTAATTATTCAGCCCCCCGGACCCGTCGCCCTAAACCTATTCGATTTATTCAGGCCCCTAAATCCGTAAACCCGAAACCCTAAACCCCCTAAACCTTGAAGGCCACCGGCAGCTTCTCCCGCTCCGCCGTGCGACTCGTTGGGGTTTAGGGTTTAGGGTTTAGGGTTTAGGGTTTAGGGTTTAGGGTTTAGGGTTTAGGGTTTAGGGTTTAGGGTTTAGGGCTTACTCCTTAGGGCTTAGGGTTTAGGGTTAGGATTTAAGGTTTGGGGTTTGGGGCTTAGGGTTCAGGGCTTAGGGCTCAGGGCTTAGGGCCTGGTGCTTGGTGTTCTTAAAGCATTGCAAGCTTTGAAACCCAAAAGTTGGAAATCCCTGCACTTGCACACTACTTTCATCTATATCCCCTTCGGAATTATTTTTTGTTTATATAAAACCCAAGAGGATATAAAAACGTTTTTATTAGGGTTCTAGGGGGAGTATAGTCATAAAGTCCATAGAATTGTCAAAGCCCTCCTCCGCCCCAGTACCTAAGCTAAACTCGAAACCCTCTCCTCACCCAAAGCCACAGATCAGGTGCACCAAAACCGAGAACCCTAAACACTGACCACAAGCCCTAAAATCTTTGCACTGACACCCTAAAACCCGAAAGCCCTAAACCCTAAAACCCTAGAGCCCTAAAATAAAAACAGAAAAAAGACTATAAATCTCAGGTGCAACTCCACTGGTGGCAAGTCTCAACTCTCCGGCGTGACGGCAGGTGAGGTGATGATGTGGCAGTGTTGTACTTGGGGCTTAGGGTTTTGGATTTTTGGGTTTTGGGCCCTAAGCCCTGAACTCTACATGGGAGGGGGGAGGCGGGGTTAGGGCTTGGGTTGCTTTAGGAGGTTTGGGGATTAGGGTTTTGGGATGTCAAGCGTTTGATTATTGGAAGCTTGTGTGGCATTCGGCACCATATAAGAACGCCACGTTAGGGTGTGGAAGCTTGGGAATTCCGGGCTTAGGCGGCTCTGAAAGGTTGGCTAAGAGTGGCCATAATCCCTAAACCCTCACCCCTAAAAAGTGAGGATTGTTTTGGGAGTGCGGTTTTTGTTGGTTTCAGAGTTCATGGTCCGGAGGGTGACACTAGCGGCCCAGGCTGCTGTTTCCCCTTGCTTGATCGCTTCCGCGCATGGGCATTGGCAGCTTCTTCCCAGGCCCTTGCCCTCTAAGATCTGGGTCTTTCTGAGGGTCTGTTTCAAAGGCTACCCTTAGTTGGGTCATCTACCACATGTGTTTCAAAATAGTTTGGACACCCAACCTGGTGATGTTCGTCTCTCGGGGCACCCTCGTCCTAGCCGGGGTTCAAAGACAACTACTATGTGCCTAAGAACCCCCCAAAAAAGTAAAAGATAATGATCCCTATCTTATAACCTTATTAGGAAGAATATGTTGTGTTTTTTGGCGGCTTCTTAAGCAATTGGTAGTGACTTCGCCCGGCGTCGAAGCCATGGCTGCTGGCACCTCTGGCGAGAGGCTGCGCCTGTCGCTCTGCAACATGCTGACAGGCGCGGTTGCAGGTTAGGAGGATCTCTGGACTGCGTCTGAAAACGGGGGTTGTATAGGGCTCAGGGGTGGAGGTTCTAGGGCTTGTAAGGCTTCTGGGACGTCACGTCGGGTTTGTGTGTGGGGTTCAGGGGTTCGAGGTGGCCAGTAGATTCGACCTGGGACCTCCTGTAGCCTTGCTGGGTTTGTAAGCCACATCTTGGGCATGTTCCTTGTGGGAAGCAATCCCCATCAGCCCGAAACTCGATCCCTTTTTTGGTTAATAGGTTATGCGTGGAAGAAAAAAGCGTCGATGTCTAGCAGTCTAGGCGGACCACACTAAGAGATTTGATGTGTTCCCTTCCTTTCGTTTAAGAGGACCACGTCTAGGAACAAAAATGTTCTGTGGCTTGAAGAGGGCCAACCCTCCCCCCCCCCCCCCAAGCCCCAATCCTTAAACCCTAAACCGCAGGCGAGCTGCTCCGTGAGGTGGAGCTGGCTCCTTCAGACAGCTTGCAGGCCCCACAAGCCGAGTTTCGGGCGTTTCGAGAAGTAGGGAAGAGACACGGAAGGAGCACTCTCTGCTTCCTTTGCATGTCCTATGACCTTAATAGCTTAAGATGCCGACCTCAGCCTGGCCCAGGGCTTACATGGTCAGTTCTTGCAATTTGTGTGGGGGGGGGGGGGGGAGAGGGCATGGGCCCTGAACATTTTGAGCCATCGTGTCAGTCTAGGAACTTGCTTAACTTTGGAAGAAGAACCCTGTGGAGTTTGAGCTGGAGCCATGAACTGACCCCTAAGACCTCAACCTTCATTCAAGGGTATTGGGAGTAGTCCGAAAATGCCGGTGTATGGCCCACGTGCGCCCCTGACACAATTAACCTAAGAACCTTAGTCAGGATCGAGTAGGGGTGGGCATTTTGTTCATCTCTGTTCCCAAAAGTAATCCTGTGAGATCCCGAAATGAAGCCCATATCCTAGGGAGTACATTGGGTTTACGTAGTTTAGGGTGCCTGTTTCAGGTTTGGGGCCCTGGCAAAGGGATAATCTTAGATTTTTGGAGAACCATGGAGGGTAGTTTGTGTGTTCACATGAACTCTTCCGCTGTAGGCTGTGGCGGCCCAAAACCTACCCGAGTGGCTGCCGATGCGCCGCCTGCCACGACATTGGGCAGCTGATTTTTGTTGGGGCTTAAGAGGTTCAGGGGTTGGGAATTGGGGGAAGCCCTACCTATGACCCTAAACCCCAAATCCCAAAAAGTGATCCAAGTTGCCTCATTTCTGGGTCAGGCCTCCTTTACAACACAGAACCTTGCGGCCACGACAGCGCCCTTAGCCTTGGCATAGTGGACGGCGCGGTGGTCCATGTGGTGCGGCTCGAGAGACACGGCTCTCGTGCAGGGGGCTTTGAACCCACTTCATCGCAGGTACTTTAGGGGCCTGAATAATTGGAATAGGGTTTTGGGGAGGTTATTGTAGCATAAGTATCGAGGGACACAAGGGAATACTCTTAGTAGCTATTCCGACCCCTAAACTACGTTCCAGGGCCGGGTCGTTGAAGGAGGATTGCCCCTATGTTTGCTTTGGTCAGGGTTTAGGATTCAGTTACTTACTTTGCCAAAAGTTGAACTGTAAACCTTTTGCGCTTCCTGATTTCGTAGGAACCATGAAGTGTAACCTTTTCTCCCTTGGTTATTGGAGAAGTAAGCAGGGTGTGTTTTCCGGGGCAGTTAGACGGGTCCGTCGGAACCCTAAACCTACAATGCCCTATAAGCCGCCCTTGTGTGTGTTGGGTCCCAGGAGACAGAAGGAGTTTGAAAAGGTGGGGCAAGGCGACATGCTCGCCTTTGGCTATCACTGCCATGACACCTGGCTCAGGCACATCCCAACCGAGGATCCGAACTGCTTCTTGGTGAGAGTTGAGGACTTGGGGGTTTGTTTAGGGAAAGGATTACTACTAATTGCTCAGGAACCCCGAAAAAACACAAATATTCTTCCTTATTAAGGGTAATATATGGATTCTTATTTTATATTTTGGGGGGCTTAAAATCCCTCACAGAGCCTAAGGAGCCTCAGTAAACTAAACCCTAAACCCTAAACTCTAATCCGCAGCCCAGGTTTCCTCGTTGCCTGGGTTCGACATTTCCATGGCGAGGACCACGCGCGCAGTAGAGCCCGGTACTCGTTTGAGGAAAACATGTTGTTTCATCATGAGGACCTTTTTTTTGTTAGGGTTTAGGGTTTAGGGTTTAGGGTTTAGAGTTTAGGGTTTTGGGCCTTACGGTTTAGGTTTAAGGTTTAGGGTTTAAGAAGAAAAGGCGCCTAGCCAGTTTGGAAACCGGACCGGCTTCAGGTAGATAGACCTTAACCCTAAATCCCTACACCCTAGGGACTTGATGGGCAAGCAGGGGGCAGGCTTGAAGGGCTTCAGGGTTTGAGGGCTATTGGGCTTGTTGGGGTTTTAGGGTTTGTGGTGTTTGACACGGTTTCAGGGTTTAGGTGCTCTGGGGTATTGTGGGGTTTTGGCATCTGAGGGTTTGAGAACTCGAGGGTTTAAGGTGTATGGTGAGGACTACATGGGCTACCGCAAGGCTCTTCGCGAAGGTCGGCGGAACAATGGTGGGATCTTCCGAGACTCGGAATCTTAAAGATTGGAGGGTTTAGAGTCTAGGGATTAAGCTGAACCGTGAACCCTGAAACCTGAACCCTAAACCCTAAACCCTAAACCCTAAACCCTAAACCCTAAACCCTAAACCCTGAACCCTGAACCCTAAACCCTAAACCCTAAACCCTAAACCCTAAACCCTAAACCCTAAACCCTAAACCCTAAACCCTAAACCCTAAACCTAACCCTAAGTTCTCAACGCCATAGACCCGAAGCCCGACCCAGGAGACGAAACCGTCACCCTCGACCTAACTGCCTGGGCTGCCGCCGAGCGCAGCTCAGCCACTGCTCAGAGCCGGTAGGGAATGACGTTTAGGGTTTAGGGTTTAGGGTTTAGGGTTTAGGGCTTAGGGTTTAGGGTTTAGGGGTTTCGGATTTAGGGCTTAGGGTTCGCCCCGACCTACACACTGTAAGGAAGTGTTGTATGCTATCTAATAATACCCTCATAGCCTATTAGAACAACCAGTAAGTAGACCCCTAAGCCCAAAGCCCAAAGCCCCCAAACCTCAAAGCGACTGTTTGAAAGGAGGGCCTGCAACAAGCCGGACCCTAAGCCCCATAAGCCCCATAAGCCCCATAAGCCCCATAACCCCATAAGCCCCATAACCCCATAAGCCCCATAAGCCCTATAAGCCCTCTAAGCCCTATAAGCCCTCTAAGCCCTATAAGAGGCAGCAGCCACGAAGTTCGACTACTAGGTTGGTTCTTTGGACATGTTTTACTTCCCTTATTTGGGTTTTACAAGGACCCTCTATCTAAATATGTTTCAGAGGGTTTTTAAGGGCAACCCAGACTACCCCAGAGCCCCCAAGCCCGGGCCTGAGGCAACTCTGCTTCGCGGCCCGGACAGGCCAAAGGCCCGCTGACGCTGGCGCCGCACATCCGCGCTGTCCATTGCGCTTCCAGCAGAGCGCAGGGGTTCAAAGCAAGGGCGTTCGGAAATAAACCCGGAACCCTAAACCCGAACCCCTAAACCCTATAACCTTAAAGAGGACTTAAAGAGTGAGGGCTGAGGCCGTCGAGCAAGTTCGGCATGCTTAGGCCCCAAGGGTGGGGTTTAGGGTTTAGGGTATCAGGGCCAAGTCAAAGGGACCTGGATGCAGGAGACACGTTCCGGTTCCCGTTGGCAGTTTCAGCCTCTGGTGGGGTGTACGTCCTCAAGGGGCAGCACATCTGTCTTCTTGCCGAACACGGCGGCGAGATCCGTCCTGTCTACGAGGCCTAAGCCCTGCAAAGCTCAGCGCCATACCCCAAACTGCCCAAAACCCTATGAACCCTAAACCCCCAAAGCCCTAAACCCCAAAAGCCGTTCTTGCAGGGTTGGGGGGTGCTTACTGTATAGCATAGGCGCTTTAGTAGGTAGAGTAGGGCTTTGGGGGTTCTGATAGTATAATCATGTGGGGACCAGAAGGGAAGGTTATTACCTAAACCCTAAACCCTAAACCCTAAACCCTAAACCCTAAACCCTAAACCCTAAACCCTAAACCCTAAACCCTAAACCGACCCCTGTAGTAGGGATTCGGGCCCCAGGCTGATGACACGGAGATACGTGACGTCGAAGCGGCGTTCTTTGTCGCGAGCTCCTTGTACCTGGGGGACGAGGGTTTAGGGTTTAGGGTTTAGGGTTTAGGGTTTAGGGTTTAGGGACGAACAGGACCTAGTTTTCAGGAGGAGTCTGCGTTGGGTAGTTCTCTAAATTAGGGCCTTTTTTTGGGGGTGCTTATTTGAAGGGCGACGTACTAAAGAGGGTACCAAAAAGGGACCCGAATTTAGAGGACTTTTGTTTGAGGATAGGGGCCCTCGTTTCTGGAATCTCTGAAGTGGAAAATTGAGGTCTCGATTGCAGTAACTGCCCTGAACTATTCCTTTCTTGGTGAGCAACAAAAGGCGTACCCACTAAGGGTTCAGATCAACCTTCAACCAACCTTAAGATCGATTGGGATCATGTTACTCTACACTCTAGATACCTTAAGACCCTAGAGCCCTTGCACGCACCCCTACGCATAAACATTAAGCCCTAAACCCTAAACCCTAAACCCTAAACCCTAAACCCTAAACCCTAAACCCTAAACCCTAAACCCTAAACCCTAAACCCTAAACCCTAAACCCTAAACCCTAAACCCTAAACCCTAAACCCTAAACCCTAAACCCTAACCCTAAACCCTAAACCCTAAACCTACAGGAGGCATTCGACATCAAAGCTCGTTGAGTCCCGAAGGTACCTCCTTGGCCGGGACCCCGACGACCGCTGCACCGTCATGGAAACTCGTGCTTTCTTGGTTTGGGCTTTAAGGGTTTTCGGTTTTAGGGTTTGGGTTTTGGGGGTGTTAGGGGTTCGGGCTTTTTTGTTAGGGTTTAGGGTTTTGTAAGCTTGATGTCATTTTTTTGCGCTGGGGGTCGTACCTAGGAATACTTGTCGGAGCATCTGACCAGCCAGCCTGTAGATAAACCCGAAGCCTCAAATCCTGCACTATTGGGCCCCCTGAACCCTACACCCAAAACCCTAAACCCAAGCCCTAAGCCACAAGCCCTAAACCCCAAATTAACTGCAGTTCAGGGACTTCTAAGCCACAGAAGTGCTTGCAACCCAGCCTAAGGTCCTTAGAAACCCACTTCAAACAGGGGGAACCCCACCCTGAAACCCGAAACCCTCTGAACCCTAAACCCCCTAAACCCTCTGAACCCTAAACCCCCTAAACCCCCTAAACCCCCTAAACCCCTAAACCCCCTAAACCCCCTAAACCCCCTAAACCCCCTAAACCCCCTAAACACCCTAAACACCCTAAACACCCTAAACCCTAAACCCTGTCTCTGTAGCCACGGGCTCATCTACCTGTCTCACCTGCCACCAGCGCAGTTTTCACATCTCCACCAAGGTGTACCTAGGCGTGAGCAGAATCTGGCCCTTGCAGATGATCATAAGGAACCAAGGGGGTGGAAGGGAGGACGGCATAAGGATGCTTCATGCTCAAAATACCGTCCCGAACGTAACCGTAACCGCACTGGCCCGGGAACTGCGCCTGACAGAAAGATTTGGAGGTTCAGGGTTTGTAGGAGTTTAGGGGTTCAGGGTTGAGGGATCGGAGCATGGAACGGCACCCAGGGTACAGATGACGGTTGGAATATCCGGAGTTCTCCTAAACCCACACGGGCCTTGCAGTACTGACCGCTGGCCAGGGCTGGAGGTTTGAGGGTTTAGAGTCACAGGGGTTTCGGCTCAGGCAGGGTTAACATTCAACACCCACCCCCCCCAAACCATGAAACCCTAAACCCTAAACCCTAGGCCCTAAACCCTAAACCCTAAAACCCTAAAACCTAAAACCCTAAACCCTAAAACCCTGAAGCCTGGTCATCCTTGAGCGTGCTCATGCCCGCAATCAGAGCCACCCCTAAGGACCGGGCTCCCCAGATTGCCCAAAATAAAACAAGGGCTTAACTACCCCAAAGAAGCCTGTTAGGGTTTAGGGTTCAGGGTTTAGGGTTTAGGGTTTAGGGTTTAGGGCTTAACAAGCGCGTAGCCGGCAGTAACAGAGCGTTGGGTGTACTAGTATTACGTGCCAATGGCTGTTGAATCGCACAGAACTACCACGTTTATACTGCCCCCAAAGCCCTCCAAACCTCGGACCCATCGTAGGCCCTTATTCCTTTAGGGCCTCGGTTCCTTCATAAGCCCCTTTTAACCAAAACGGGCACCCTTTCTATTCCTAGGTTGGGTCCAGACACTCTACAGGGAGAGGCCCCCTTACTATACCAACCTTTTCTTAAGAATCC